TACTCGGGAGCAAAGTAACCCGGTGTGCCCAGTGTCCTGGTGGATATGTGGGTCTTGTCACCCTGGGGACCAAGCTTAGCCGGTCCAAAGTCAGAAAGCTTGGCATTGAACCCCTAAAGTAGTATCAATTTCGCAGTTGGTAGTCAAAAAATTAAACCTTGGGGTGAGTAATGATGTCGTAAACTGGGGGAAAAAAAAATAAAAAAATGTATCTATGGTAAAATTTTAATGATCTGATATGCCAAAAACTTTCAGTATTGATGAAAAGAGTATGAAAATGATTGACTGAAAAGCTTACATTGTCGAGCAGAATATTGGATGACTTGAGATCACAGTGAATGACTGGCCTCACAGCGTTGTGAAGGTACTCCAAACCCCTGGCTGACTCAACTGCTATTTTGATTCTCCTACTCCAGTTTAGCTATGTTTTCCCTTCTGCTTATGTCAAACAACAATTATTCACTATCGTTTCTCTGTTAGGTCAGTCTAAATTCAGCAAGATCTTTTAATTCTCTCTTTTTTCTATTGGGTAAATTACACTGACCTTCCCCTAAAGTTTGAAGAAAATACATTAAGCTCCCTTAACGTTTTAATTCACGAAACCCTTGAAGTCTCCTTTTCATCAGTGATTCATTAGTCATATCAATGAGAAGTGATGTTGTCATTTCATGTCTATTTTATCTTGTTTATCTTTATGTGTTCATACATTTGCTTTGGTTCTTGTTCCTTTAACCTTTGTAAAAGAGATGTCAGTGTAATATGTCAAAACTGTAGAGCTGGTTGCATTTTTTCTGAATCGTAAGGGAGGTCAGTGTAACTTGCCCTTTCTATTTGTCTTCCCTTAGAATATATCATCACCTACCACCTCCACTCAACTCACCTACCACACACACTCACCTACTCCCCAATCCTCTCCTATATAATTAGTACCTCACCATCTTGTAATAACATCAATACATCAATCTTGTATCTATCAATCAATAAATCAATCAATAATACATAAATTCTTACACATTGTTTCATATAAGAGGATTCCTATTTAGAAATCTAGTAGTATTACATATGTCTTAATATACCTTCTAACATCTTCATAATTTTTGTAGATTTATTATGGTTTTAAACAACAATTCAATCAAACACAAACTTTCACGTTCATATAGTCACATAAGACTTTACATTGTATCACATTCCATGGATATAGTATTAGAGAGACATAAATATCTTCATATACAAAGATTTTTGTCACATAATATTATCACGCTAACATTTGATAAGTACGTAGATTCCACAAAATAGAACCCATAGCACGGAAGGGGTACAACTTATCACACAACACAATATGATGTCCTAATACATGACATTTCTTTCTAAATGACTCTATGTCTCTTAGTGTCAAACCTGTTCCTCTGATAAGGGTTCCTAAACCTGTTGCTCTGATAGGTTTATTGTGTTATTGGGATTGTAATGCTTCCGCTAAATAAATGAGAAAATTAAATAAATTCCATATATTTCCAGATTTCCCCTCCCAAACACACATTAATGTGTACTTCTTGGGCGTTGTTTTTTTTTTTTATATTTCCAGATTTCCAAATGCACCTCTCACTGGGTATAGGTAGGTCTTGGTAGCCTGTGGCTATCAGCCAGTCATGCCTTAAATCTGCCTATAGTGGGGTTTGGGTCATGAAAGAATGGTATCAGAGCATATGAGAATCATGTGCTAAACATTGTGATAATGTCCATCTAAATGGAGCTATACTGAGGGATTAATCGAGCCAACTCCCGGTTAAATAAACCGACATTTGTAGCTAAGGGAGCTCTCAATTATCGATATATGGGATTTAAGAGGTGTCTTGTATAGATTTTAGATGTGGTTGCCACTGTGTTTTTCGCAATGTAGTGTAACAGTTAGTTCCATACTACATTTTGTTCCCAAAACATTCATGTCTACTAGCAAAAATTACCTTAGTAGCTGAGACTAACCACAGATGGCACCTATATAGATTGAGGCATATTCAAGCATGGGACATCTATGAATTATGAAACATTTCGTCATCATAAGTTTAAGTTCCAAAAATGTTGTACCGAAAATAAACTGACACATATCACCACTCGCCTTAACCCCACAAAAGTATGTTAGTTCCATAAGATAATTAGCCTACATAAGCATAAAAGACACTGCGTAACAAAATTAAGGCAATGCTCTTTGTTAGAAAACCCTAACCCCAATACTAGGAGGAGGGAGCATGTTTGATCTAATATATATATATATATATATTGATGACTAGACGCTTCGATGGGTAGTCTGATTTGTTCATGTCATCAAGCAGTAACCTTGACAGGAGGAAGTGTCCAAGATGGTTTGTGCCAACACTGAGTTCAAACCCTTCAGCGGTGAAAGTCGGCTCCTTTGCAGTAGGCAAGTAGACCGCAGCATTGCAAACCAGCACATCGAGTGGCCTTCCTGAACGGTGGAAGTTATCTACGAATTGGCGGACACTGTCAAGGGAAGCAAGTTCCAGATGCATAATGGTGTAGTTCTCCTTTGCAATGCCAGCTGATTTAGCAGCCCTTTCGGCCTTGAGAAAGTTTCTACAGGCCATAATGATGTGCCATTTTTCTGTTTCAGCTAAAGCCTTTGCTGTGGCTAGACCTAGCCCAGAGGAGGCTCCAGTGATTATAACATTGCCCTTTCTCAAAGTTTTCTTTGCTTCTGGTGCAGCCTGGTTGATTTCTGGAGTAGTAGTGACTGCTTGGACTACAATAGGTTTAACAGAGATTTTTCGTTTCAATTCCTGCAAGTCATGAAGCACAGCAAAAATATGAACGCCTAATCAAGATTGACAGTCTGATTGTATCCAAGTGATCAGTTTTGCAACTCTTACGTTGTGTTTAGTTGGGAGATTTGGGAAATGATTTGGAAAAAGAAAAGAAAAAAATGTGTGAAATTAGGTGAAATGTAAATATATTTTATTCACATTTCACGTACCTTTTCCCTTCCCCTTTCCCTTTCCATTTCCAAATCTCTTCCCAAATCCCCCAACCAAACACAACATTAATGTGGTATGGATGTTTTCGCAGGACAAGAAATTTGGAGCTCCAGACCTTAGTATGAGAGCAAACATATAAAAATAATTTCAATAACAAATTATCCTGACAGAATATTTGAGTTTTGTGTGAAAATAGATATATGATCTCATGAACGAATGTTCAAGTTTGTTTGAAGATTCTTTCTTGGAAGAAATGGAAGATCAGCATACCAAATTAAAATCTTAAAACACCATTCTTGAGTCAAATACATACTTTCTTTTTGAGTAAACAGTTGAATTCCTCCCTTGTAGTGGTTTAAAAATTATCCTGAGATGGGGAATCCGGTTTTCGTCGTCTCCTTGTATCAAATCAAACCAATGAAAAAATTATTCCAATAGCCAATTACATGTCGACTTTCTTATGCTTCTATGCGCTAATAAATGCAGGACTTACACGAATCAGAGAAATAAAAAAACAGAAAAAAAGGCATATTGAAGAAAATAGTTACCTTCATGTGTACTTGATGAAACAG